GATGATGGGCATCACTGACTCTTGTCCAAGAGCAGACACAGAATAAGTGCCAATACTTGGGGTTTACTGTGAGACCAGCCAACTGGGACATGTCAGTCACTACAGTTTGTCTGGTGGAAAGAACTTGAGACTACCCCAGCTTCAGGTAAATGCTGGGAGGGTGGCTCCAATAGCTGGGAGAGACTTGTCTGCCAGAGGTTCTTTGGTGGACCCGTTACAGCACTTACAGACAGAAAGCATTGCTATGTTCTATATGCTAAATTAGGTCAAAGCTAGCATCATCAATTATAGAAACGGATTGCTTATGAAATCTTAGAGAAGTAGGGTTTTTGTCATTATTTTGTGTGGAAGCTTCAATAGCATGGGTGACAGATTTTCTGCAGGCTGATTGTCCTCAATTTCAACAATGAAAAGTAAAAACAAAAAGATTTTTAGCTTGGTGTCAGTGAATGACCATGGTGAACAATACAGAACTGCTACATTTCTTAACTGGTGAATGCTTTCATGCCATAAAAGCATCAGATAAAGCACTTAAGTTTGTCCAAGAAGAATCCAGGTTCCACATCCTGAAAAGCATGGTAAATACAGTATTAAAGCTATTAAACTTTCTCAGCTTAACTAAGGTTTTCTTCAGCTATCATGAAAAATAATTTAAAAAAAATCTCATTAACCCTTTTGTTGTGCTTTACTTAAAAAAAAAAAAGGCACAGGAGAATTCTGTGAAATCAAGATTTCCACATAAAATATTAAAGGACAAGTGCAAATGAAGGATGATGGCTGGGGGCAGCTACAGTCTATTGTTAACCATTTAAAATTACTTCACTAAGCTGTCTGTATTTGACTAGAATCTTAAGCCTCTCACCCTTTAGCCATATGATAAGGCACACAGAATTACAGTCCAAGCAGGGGCTAACTCTACTGTTTCCAGATAAAGCCTTCTTATGGGAACAAATACACACCTCAAGCAAAACCCTAAAAGATGCTGAAACAATCCTAACTGTAACCACCTCTTCCTCCATAGCTCTGGTTTTATTATGTAAACATATTCCAATAAAAATCTTTACAAACTATGACAACAAGTAATGATTCCCCCCCTCCTTCCCCAGGAAAACTGTGCAAGGATAACTGTACACATGTCCAAGAAATAGAGGATGTCATTTTATTGGAGGTCCACAGGTAATTGTATCACATTAGGGAGTGGAAGAATCTCATGGTATGGCACAACACAATACCTCACTCTAAACACTTAAACAGAAGGTTAAATGATATGCAACATGATCAAATCAGTAATTCTCCATCTTCTAGGCACCAATGATTAATTTAAAATAAACTTTAATAAATGGAAAAAAAATAATACAGTCCATTAATTTGTTTGTTGCACTGTCTTTAAATGAAACAGCACTTTGAAAGTCACAAATAAAAAAGCAGCACTTTCTCTTAATACCAACACCACTGTAACACATACTGTAGCGTGGCATGCAAATCCATATCTGCAGTCTTTTTTTTTTTTGTATTAACAAGTGGAATGGTAATTTTCTATCTCAAATATTAGTAGCATAACATGTAAGTGCAGATCATTCAGGCCACAAGTGTGGTAAGCCTTAACAAGTGTGTATTACAAGAGCATAGAACACAGAGCATGACACTTACATCCAAGAATCTCTCTCTTTTGTACTGTACATGGTGTTTGTTACAGGCTGAATTCCAAGTCGCTGTACCAAGCTTCAGGAAACAAGATTATTTACCATTTCTGGTTTTGCTTAAAAATAAAATGCAGTCACCATCAAAGCACAATCGTTAATAACCTTGTCAAAAAAATGCCATAGCTCCATTGAAAAAATAACTTGTCTTTTTAGTAGACTCCATTATGTGATAAAGTTTCCATTATAGGCATATTACGAAGTCTTACAGTGGTACTGCAGTGTCATTCCTGTTAAGCAGAGATTTGTATAGACACCAAGAAATGGTGCAATGTTCAAAAAAGCTGTTCAAACTGAGCTAAGCTTCACGAGACCACGTACTGAGTCTTCATGCAATGAATCCTGGCTGGCTAGACTCAGGACATGCATTGTATGGCTGTGTGTAATAGGACTTCCACTTGGCAGCATCCCAGGGGGTGATGGAGCTTCTTCAGGAGTGAGAAACTGATGACCTTCATGTTCCTCTTTTAATGGTATCATGTCTGTCAAACCTGTATCTGATGTGAGATTTGGCATAGAAGATGGTGGTGTTGGTTGCCCTAGAGTTAGAGTTGCACAAGGCCCACTGATAGTAGTCTTTCCTGGTAAAGGTAGCTCTTCACTAGTTATGCTTGGCTCACTCTGTAGTAGGGGGGTGGCAGCAGCCTGCAAAACGAATTTAGTGCTCTGAATGCACTGATCTTGGTCACACTGTAGAATGGAAGGGTGTCAAAATCATATAAGGCAAACAAAAGAGAGAAAAAAGGGAGAATATGGACAAAAAGGTATGGAAAAGAATGGGATGTGAAGAGAAAAAAAGAAAGCCATTAGTATCATTCCATGGTTAGCCACCCAAAAATCCCATTGCATGCTGCCCAGGGTAAAAAAAAAAAAAAGCATGCGTAACTGAGCCAGTGCTTTGGATTACTATCAAAGTAAATTACGGTAAACATTTACAGTGTTCACTTAAGGGTTTTGGTAACCTCTACAATAGTATTTTATGAGCATTGTAATCCAAATGCTTTGCTTATTCTTGTTCGAAGCCATTTGGAAAGCCTAGCTGCACAGCTCGTGTGCAACTAACCGCATCAGGCACCTCAAAACCTCCCTGATTCCAGATGAGGTGAATCACTTCCACGCTACTCATTTTACCCTAGAGTAGCTAGCAGTTCAGAGAGAGGCCCAAAGGCATAATCCAAGCATCTTTCCAAGTTAAAAAACACTAGGTAAGTGTCTTTTTTTAATGGGTCTTCACATGTAGGAATTCAGGTGCTAGAGGAGTTTTCCAGAACAAGAATTCCTTTGATGCAGGTGGTTTTATAAAGATATAGCTGGCAATACACAGCCTCGATGAGGAAAAATCCCCCCCCTTAATACTTTATGTATACTCTCCAGAGAATATACTACACTATACTCTAGAGAATATGTAGAAATTAGGCAGCACTGCAGATGCTTTTGATATCAACTTTCATGATTTTTAGGCTGTTCCTTGACTAATTTAATCTTGACAATGTGAAGAATCAAGGTACAAAGCACAAGTTTTCTGGAAAGCACTTTCATAATAACAAGCCAAATTCATAATTTTATAAATCCAATTAAGCTCAGTGAGTATTACCAGGAACGCTTTTGGCTCTACATCATTCTGAAGAACTGTTTATACAAAATTATCATTCATTCCTTCAGATGACAAGACAAGTAGGTGTTTCAATAACGTGCAGCTAGCTAAGCAGGTGGCACACCTATTTCCAAATTAAGTTTCTTCAACACCAACTGGCATGATTTTTGAGAGCTTCCAAGGACAATGTATGTTTAACTCATAGCCTGATCAGTTATAACATCTTCAGACTGTCAAAATCCTGTTAAGATTCATTTGCCACACTACCATTGTGCTGTGCAAGAGAAACACTATAGTCAATGAAAACAACTATAAATCCAATGCAGCAAAGAAAATTTGGAAGCAAGCAAGCAGAATATAAAAATATATATCGAGAGGTAAGACATGCCTATTCACTGGTGTTATTTCAAGGATTCTGTTAAAGCAGTATGTTCTGCTTTACAACTAACTTCTTCGATCTATATCAAATTGCTGAAAGACTTTACAAACCCAACATCTGTTCAAGTTATTCTCATTATATATAACCAAGATAACTATTGTTACTAACATTACAGCAATTCCCTAAAATGCCCATTCGACTTTAATAAGCCACTGTGGTACGCTCTATGCAAACTCATGGAACGACTTTTCCTTCCTTTTACTGTATGATGAAAACCATCACAATGAATGCTCCCTCTGATATTTTCAGGTCCTCCAACTGCACTACTGCATAGCTTAACGATGGATGCACACACGTTACATTCAGAAAGTGTGCAAGGAGACTACTTGGTCACAGTAGGTAGGTAGTATTTTAAACATGTCTAAGTCATTTAGGGCTCCCAACTGCTTTTTGACAGGCAGAAGTCCAATCCTTACTCAGTTACGTTTTTTCCAATACTTATACTTTCAGAAAGATAAACGCACTGATTTCTTGTTACATAAATCGAGTTCATACATGTTGCAAGCAGTTTTTCCTCCACAAAATGATAAACAGCCCCAGTCAAACAATTGAAGTGGTCGCATATAATTTCAGAGGGATTACTCACAGGCTTAAAGCCAAAACCTTGCATAAGTACCTTACTAAGAAGAAAACTGTCAGCATCTTTTAAAGTCAAGCTTGCAATTAGTAATTCAGTGTGAATAACTCATTCTTGATTAATATACTGCTATTCACGCCTGCTTATTTCAATTAAGCTATAACCCTTCAACGAACCTTACTATGCAGGCCTTAAAAATCTGTTAACTGAATTTTCAAACTTCAGAAAGACCAACAAAATCCATCTTCTCTGAAAAGCAGTAGCCAAAGAGCATGTTAAATAACAAAGGAATGCCTATAACCACTGGGGTACATTGAAAACAAATAATGGTAGCAGCTGACATTGCTTTAGTGAAGCTTCAGCACTGAGCTTCAAAAGGAAATAATTAATGTGTTTCAGGCAATACAAGTACACAGTTTTAAATTATCTAAAGGTAATTTACTTGAACTCATTGTACAGTCTGAATTAATTTTCTCCTTACCGAACCCTAGTGCATGTCAACTGAATCAGTATCAAAAAGAAAAGGTAGCCTCATAAAGCTCCATTAAACAGAGTGTTATAAAACTTATTGAGGTGCTGTATCTCTCTTCTGCATTGTCCATGCACTTGTCACTTCCCTAAAGCCTCTTCTCTTATTCAGATACATTTCAGGTTTTTTTTTGTTTTGTTTTGTTTTGTTTTTTTTTTGTTGTTGTTCTATTTAACAGTGATCAACATGAAAAATCTTAGGAAAATACAGGCTGTAAACAGCTTTCAAAAGTGACGTGAGTAGGGTTTATACTAGAAAAGGTAGATGTGTTCAGTGAAGCTCTCCAAAACACCTGATAAAGACAACACATACTATGTAAGTAGACTATGAGTCTAAGCAGCCACCACAAAACTAAACAAGGAAATCAGATTTGTTTACAGGACTGGCACAGTGATTTTCCCTTGAGTCTGTATTTCACTCTTAACTAAACGAAATTTAGGGCCAAAAGTCTTAACAGCTATTAATCACATGAATTATTCATGCCAGCATTTCAAACGACATTAAAAAAGCCTATGATTGTAACAAAAAGGAAGCCAAGCACTGAAATCTAAATAGCTAAAAATCTAGTGCAGAAACTATTCCACCAGTACCTTCTTACTTCAGATCTACTGATTTTATTTTCCACTGTTTCAGAGGAACAGCAGATTCCGAAGGTAAGACAAGTTTAGTAAGTTCTACAAGTACAGATGTTCAATTATATATGTGCATAGAAAATTTTAGGCATCTATTTATTTGCACACCAAACAGCACAAATTAAAGCAAATTAGACAAAACCTAAAATTCTGTGTTTATTTCACAAATAATAAATACAAACAACTAAGGAAACCGTATTTTTCATTTTTTTCTCTGAAGAAAACCTCATTTTTTTCTAAGCTACACAAAACATACATGTTAACATAGTTGTACATGGCAATATATTTTTCACATTTTTAATGCCAAAGCCAGAGGTTATTTATTTTAAATTTTAAATGAACTTTGTTAAAATTTTTCTAAACACTAGCAACATTAAAGAATTGTTACAGTTCTCAGAAGACGGAGGAAAGAAGGTTAAATTATCTCAGAATCTCCGAATAAAGTACAAACAACAAAAAGCTCAGAGGAGACTGACAGCACTGAATGACAGCGCTATGAAGTAACAGAAAGGATGCTGAAACACCATACTAGATGGATACAATAGATGGGTAAAGAGTGGAGGGATGGAGCTGTATAACTGTTCCCAACAGCTGTAGGGTTTCACACTCAAAATCATGGTCTGCAGATACTGTGCAACAACTCAGCCACAGAACCCACCAAGCCAACGGCCGAAGGGGAAACTATACCCTGTTCCGGGGACTTGGCTTCAGACTCACTACTGTTTGTTCTTATGGACTGCATGCCCGTGAACGGTTAGAGCATGTTGGGTGCATTCCGGGAGCACATCTTCTGGAAGAAATCTAGTTCACGGGCTCTGATACGGCGCTGCGATGTGAACAAAAATGCAGTAACTATGCACAATCAAAAGAATTGCGTCTAAAACATACCTCAACCTAAAGCCAAAATGATGAAGTTGATTTACTGCACATGCCCTTAACCCATTTTAAATGTGAAGTAAAATGCTTTTATGAAAAACCTCTATCAACCTTGACTGTAGCAATGTTGACTTGATAAGAGCCCTAAGTTCTGTTTCGGGCAACGATGAATTATATCTATGAAGTACAACAGTAAATGTACAAGGAAACACACCCCTAAAACTCACAGCAAAGTGGGGCTCTTATCCTTGCTGATCCTTTCACCGTCACGATAGAAATACGTACTCCTAGTAATGAGAACATGAAAATCAAAGCAAAAAGTATGCTAGGATGGTCAGAGTTAATGCTCCCTGGGTCAGCTGGATTCCCGTTTCCAGATCAGTGCTAGAAATACTGATGTGAACATCTGGGAGAGGACTTTCCTGCACATCTCACCCGTAATGAATGTTGTGCATGCACTATTATGGTTCCTACAATTTGCAGTGGTACATGTGAGTAAGTAAAAAAACAAACACTCTAACTACAGAATTTCCATCCAGGAAAGGAAAAGGAGAACTAGAAAAAAGGGAATTTGGCACACAAGGAACTACCTAAGCACTGAAGAAGAGATGCCTAGAAATGCACCAGTACAAGTGAATTTCTTAAAAACAAAGAAATAAACCTGTCCTGACAAAGAGGCAGATAGAAGTAAAATCTGTCACTTTTTAAGGCATTAGAGAATTCCTAAAGACATCATAGTAATAATAAACCAAACTAATTCCTCTAAAAAAAGTGTATGGAGTGAGATAGGTTCTGTGTTTCTTCATAATGGATTACTAAAGAATAAAATACCCTGTATTAAAACCCAAGAATCAACTCAGGCTTTCAAGAGAAAGCTAAGTTCTACAGAAATACAGATCCAGGTAATGGTAGCTGATGGGTTTATGGTGAAATAAGAACTTTTTTCAGAATACAAAGAAAATAAACCTTAAAATGAAAGTGAAAGAAACAATAAAATACAGATAAAATTATGATTTCATAACGGGTGAGATACATGTTTTTCATGCCAAAAAATTTTCATTAAGAACAAGAAGAGAGATACTTAAGCAATCAAACTAATGAAGAGCTTGTAAAAATAATCAACAATAAAATGCAATAGGGAAATTCTTTGGAAGTATCAGATCTACAGATCATGAGCTCCAAGTGACCAAGCTTGTCACTTGGATATGGATCTTAAGAAGCTGGCTAATGAATTTACCAGATTAATGTCAAATCATATTGGAAAAGAGATTAAAAACACTGGGAATGTACCAGGAAAAAAAATTACATGTGCTTCCAGCCTTCCAAAAAGTAAATACAACTTCAGGTCTTAGTAAAATAAAGGAGATACTACAGAGAGAACAGGAGAAAAAGCTCTTTTATAAAGATCTAAGGCGGGGGGTGTGTGTGTGTGTGTGTGTAAGTAAATCATAGCATGGGTCTAGAAGCACTGATTATAGCAACAACCCTGACTTACTGAGATTGTGATAAACTGAGTCACTAGCACAAGCAGGGTAGCTCCTATATGAAATATTCAAAGTCCCAAAGGCAAAATTACCACAAAAGCTGTTAAATACAAAAACAGTGCCCCACAAATGGTATCCTGAACAAGAGATAATGTATTGCACCGAAAACAAGCATCTGGCAAGTTTAAACTTAGCCTTTTTATTTTAAGCTTAAATGCAAAAATGATGTTATGCTAAAAGAGTTATTAAAATAAATGAAAGCAGAATATGATACTGAGCAGCCCGGAGAGGCTTAAAGAATGACAAGGGGCTAGCTGGGTGAGACACAAGAATTCTACTTAGAAAGACACAAGTCACTGAGTAAAAGACTTGAGGGAAGGGAAGGGAAGGGAAGGAAAGGAAAAGAAAGAGACAATGGAAGGAATAAGAGAAAACAGGTATGAGAGAAGATGCTTACGAAAAATCTTCCTTTAATATCAATGGGCGGGAGAGACATTTTAGCATACTATACGGATTAAGTAGTATATCATTTAGACATTAAGATTCAATGTAGAGATAAGATGATGTAATGTATTCTGGAATAAAACCTAAGGAGACACACTTTAAATTTTGAATAAGTTATTTCCTGTACTCAAAAGTGTTAAACTTGCTAAAACAGTGTATCTCTGATGATGTATACAGAGATAAACCTCTGCCATTTAGAAAGTTTTTATGGACTAAGACTATGATCTACACATGCTTTTAAGTCAAGGAATTTCACTTTGCCTGTCCTTATCTGAAACCACAATAATACAAGCTGCAGTAACCAGATACATCCCCTTCAAAAACTTGCCAGTACTTTGTGGTCCACCTGCCTCAGCTCCAAGAAAGCATTTTTCATTTTATGCTTCTGCCTTTTTTCCAAGAGGTATGCAACCTTCCAGAAGGGAAGACTGAATCATATTACATCTTCTGCCTAACCTTTGTCAGCAAGGACACGAGGTAAAAAGGAAACATTTTCTTCCACAAAGACTTTCCCTCTACTATTTTGCTTCCACTGGAGTCTTGGGCTTGAACTAGTCTATTATTTAAACCATCAATAGCCACAGGAAATTTTGATGTTTGCATCTGAACTTCTAGCAAGGGGGATTCTAGAGGATCTTGCAGAGATTCCTCTTCTAAAAAAACCCAACAAAACAAAACAAAGAAAAAAAACCAACAATAGCCAAAACTAAAACAACCAAACACTGGGATGCCGCATGCCTTGTTTTACTTCTGCCATAAAGTGTCCTCCACTGTCTTTCACTGGAGAAACTTCCGTGGTCCTTTACAGGGGAGAACAGGTGAATGGCTGGTATTCCCAGTGCTCCTGTTCCCAAACTTCTTCAGAAGAATCTAAGATTGTGTGCCGGGAAGAAAACTGAGAGAAACAGATACTGTAAAGCCTGGAAAAGTACTAGGGGTCATTTCATGGGAAAAAAGTTTAAATAGAATGATGAAGTTTTACTTATTTCTGTCTAAATTTAAATCAGAACAGGAAATCTGGTAACTGAATGGAATGGCTGAAAGCAACTAAGCTAGCAGTAAAATGAATTTATTTTGGTAGAAAAAAAAAGAAAGCCTGTTATGTGGATGACATTGAGATCTTAACTGGGAAATAAAGAAATCAGTTCTGTTTGCTGCTTTAAGAGATAGGAGAGATGGGAACTTGAAAGTAGGCAGAGTCTACTAAGAAGAGCAAAAATGTTGACCTTTGAACAGAGAAAAAGGGAAATGCGAAACAAGGACAAGTCGGAGGCGAAGTTATGTCCCACCGCATTGTTGCCAGCAGGAAATGAATTTATAATTTCTTATGCTTCAAACTCAGGAAAGAATGCAAGATTTTAATACGGAAGAGAAAACAGTGCTAGAGATACTGGGAAACTAAGCAGGTCTTTAACGGTTTGCAATCAAACTCAAGGGAGAAATTTTAATGCTGATACCCAGCTGCTGCTAAAAGACACTTGGTCTTGGATATAGAGCAGGAATAACACCCTGAGAAAAACGGCATCACAGTCTTAAAGATAGTCCTCCACACCAAACACGATGTATTATACTTTTCAAGCTTTTCTGAGAGATCATTTTCAGGAATGAAAGCTGCACATTTCCAAGTGACTCAACTGCTAAAGAACCCAGGCCAGCTTGAGTAGTGTGATGTTCTAGGACATAAGTAGTTCAAATCCTTGAAGAATCTGCAAGATTACAGGTATTACACCTTTAAAACCATAACAGCTACCTGTTGAATTTAAAGTAATACCGTAACAGATTTCTCCATTTCTAGAGAAAAATTTAGTCAATTTTCTATCAAACCAGCACAATATTTTCTCATTAATACCTAGTAATAATTAAAGTGTCTTCTTATAATGCAAGTACAATTCTTACAATGTTAAGATAATTTAATGCCAGGGATTTATTTGTGTTAATGATTCTCACAAATAAGAAGCCTTGACAGACTCAGAAAGTTTGGGTAATCCCTGAAAGACCTCAGCCTATTCCTAAGGTTTACTTTCTCTCCCTCTCTCTCTCTTTTTTTTTTTAATTCCCTTTTCACTTTTCAGAGTTAATTTTTTTTTTTGAGTGAAATTTGCACAGAGCATTACCTTGTCTGCAGAACTGCACCTCACAGAAGATTCAGAGTTAATACTGTGTCTCTAATACATTTTCTCATTACGGACACTAACAAATCTTCTATTTAATCCTCAAAATAATAAGTAAAAACAGCTTAGGAACTACAGCAAAATTTTTATACCAGTTTTATCAGTGACACTAGAACTAATCTGTCTGGGAAGAGTGAGTCTTCTTCCTCTGTTCAAAAGAAAGGCTGAGTTATGTCAGATTTTTTTTGGCAGAGGGAAGGCATCCATAACTTATGGCTTCTTTGACAAAGTCTTAGAACCCACATAATATGAAGATATGTGGAAAACAATTCAGAAATAGGCACGTATGTAAGATGCTTGCCTTTGGAAAAAGATCTCTTTCCAGTTATTCTCTTCTTCTTGGCACTGGAAATCCTATCTTCCTTTGTGATAGCCAATGCTACCAGCAAAAAACAAAGTAAAAACTATTGGCACAGTTTCAAAAATGTTTAAAAGCTTTTGTTGTAACAATCCAGTTGCCATTATTTGATCATTGGAAGTTCAGTGTCCTCCTGCTCTTTCTTCAACACACTTCTCCCTTAGAAACTCCTCTTTGTTCATCTTTGCTTTTTAAAACACATTTGTCTGTGCAAAACCACAGCGTACAAGCAAAGAAGGAAACAGAGTATGAAGAAAGTGCCATACAAAATAACAATTAGCTGGAAAATGATGAACCAGAGCAAGTCCATGATACTTGAATATTCCAGTTCAAAACACAGCAGGTGTCAACAGTACAAGTCAAAATGCCAATATATTCAATAAATCAACAGTGTAGAAAAGCCTCTCTTTTCTTAGAATCCATGAGCAATAACTATTACAGTGTGAAACATACATTAAAAAGAGCCTTGATTTTTTTTTCCTTTACTGTTAATAAACAAGTCATTCCACCCAGAGCGTCAGCTGTATCCAGTTAGTTATTACTTGATTAGTTCACATGAAAGTGGAGAAGGAAAACATTCAGAGGAATCTTGATGAACAACACTATGGGATGATTCCTACCATGTTGCTCTGAGATTGTGTGGCCCCGTACATAGTAATGCCATTTGATGGTCCTGCTAATTGTGGTGTATCTGGTTGTATAAATCCTCTTCTGTCAATTAAGCTATGGAATAATCAAATTAAAGAAAAAGAGTTAGAGATATTTCTGATCAATAACTACCTCCTCTCAATAAAAAGAAAAAATTTCTATCATACAACAGACCTTAATATCTCACCAATACCTTCAAATGTCCCCTTTTATTCAACTGAAGTACAGAACTTCATTTCTACTCATAGGCAAGGTAATTCTTTCCTTGTAATATACCCACCATATAGTCGTATGTACTGCCACTTTTCTGGATTTTTATCATAGACAAAAGATTTAGAAGCTGACCAGCAGAAACCACAAAACCAAGAATTTTAAGCCACAGGTGTGAAAACAAATTACAAAACTCACTAGTGCATTTTGAATTAGTATCTATTTTGAAAGTTCTTTCCTTATCAGCTTCCACACCTCAAAACTAAGGCTACTTAGTCACAAAATTCAGAAAGAAAGAGAGAAGTTTTGTTTAGACAACTTCTGACATGTTTCATGACAGCTACCTAACACTGCTTGTAGTGTTTCACTATTCTTACCAAAGACATAAGAAATTTTAAGAAATTTTTTTGTGGAGAAATTAATAAAAGTAAGTAAAAATCTACATAAGATTATAAAAAAAATAATTAGATTGGAATAATCTGACTTAGCTAAAGATTTTAATACAATTCCACATATAATTTTACTCTCAATTTGAGAACTATAAACCACACTTAGGTTCTGATAGTTAATACTCATAAAAAGCTGAATGTACAGACTGAAGTACTATATTCTACACGTGTATTAGCTCATACCACTTCCATACAAAAACCCCAAAAATCTTTTCTACTGTTTATGCTTCAGTTCATTCAAAGTTTTTTTGGTTGGTTTGTTTGTTTTTTTTAAATTATATGTAGCTTTCAATTATAGTTCCGTATATTTTTAATCATAGGCCAAAATGTTTTTTTTCCTGTGACCTGAACAATGTTACTTCCCATCTGGAAAACTACAAATTTTACCACAGGATATCAAATTTTAACCGGAGTGTTTATAGTTCCTGTTACCAAGACAAAATGACAGGAACGCCTTAAAACACCCAAGAGCTAAAGTCAGCACAGAACTGGTATTATTTGCTGATTTATGGGACCTCCAATGGCTTCAATTTTAAAAGATAAGAACAGGATGCATAGATAAAATGAAGGTGTTTCCCCTCTAGAGAAGTCAACGAGGTTTCCACCACCCGGAGACCAGTTTAAGCTCTCCTCATTAAGGTCTGTAGAATAGGTTTCTATGTACATTCAAAACACTTTGAATCCACCCGAGATTACAGTCTGCCATGCGGAAAGCACTCCTTCAAAAATCAGGTGCTTTAAAATAGATGTATGATTTATTGTATCAGAACATTAGCTGGACCTATGCCAACAGCTATGGATCAAATTAAGATTTGAAAGTTACTGTTGAGGATGTGTGAAATGCATCCTGAATTTGGTAGCATAGGTTTAAAAATGAGAAACCTAATCTTAAACAGAAGTGAGAAAAGTTTGGATTATTTACAGATCCTCTCTTAAACTGCATTCCATTCTCAGAGGCAGTTGAACATTCTGAATCTTAAGTTGCAATTGCTGTGAAACCACATCACTGGGATTTAAGGAAAAAAAAAATCAGTATCAAGTGACTTGGGACACAGCTGAGATTAAAAGTAAAAAAAGGCAAGGTTATAATTTACATTTTACAGTCAGTAAATTTTTACTGTTGGTCACAAAATATCTCCCTGTAGAAACTCTACATATAGTTTGGCATCTAAATAAATTATGTTGCTATATGGAATTTAGGAAAAAATGTACAAACTCTGTCAAAACACAGGAGCCAATGCTAGTCTGGTCTGTTGTGTGCTGCTACTTGTATCAGCCTAAGCTGCTATTTCAAACACTAAGAAACATTATGTAGTTTTAATAAAGGTTTCCATTTGGAGTCAAACAAAAGAATTTGAAGGATGGCATTGAGTTTTTATGTCACGTTCTTTCATGAAAAGCAAAATGGCAGCATTAAAGGGTTGGCTTCAGGCACCATGCATATAGGCAGGAAGCAGAGACAAGGTTACTTTCTCTCACCACAGGGATTACAGTGTTAACCCAGCATGTGAAAATCTTAAAACTCAGTTGTCTCCTCCTTAGGAAGAGATGTCAGTCTCTCCTGTTGACCTTCAACTGCTCATAGAAGAACCACTTCCGATATTCATAACAGCAAAGACAGAAATCCCACTTCTAATGAAACATATTAGCCACTGGGCTATAAAGTCATTTACTTACTTTCTTGTCTGTGGTTCAGATTCATAACTATATAATTCCAGATAAAGCAAAACAGCTTCCACCGATGAGTATGCCACAAAAATAATCTACAAGATGTCAGCCACTCTCTACAGAGGAACTGGGCCTCTATGGTACATGTAGTACATGAACTATCTAACCACCGAGCATTGGAATAAGAAGAGAATTATGTCTTTCCTGCTGCCAGTTTTATTTTTCCGGTCTCAGCTCTGTCTTATATTTTGTTCAGGCTGAAAAGACATCTGCAATCTTGAATATACAAATATTTTGGATTTCAAAAGTGAAAGTGTCTGCAACAAAAAGCAATCTATTGAGCTTTCTCTGGAATTGCTTTGGTGTAAGACCACCAAATTCAGCTTTATGTATGTACGTATGTATGTTGACAGTAGTATAAATAAAGAAAAATTACTGTCTATTTAAATAGAACAGTTCAGAGTGAAGACAAACAATTATCAAACTAGTTGTAGAAGTAAGGTTCCTAAATTCTTCTAAACTCATGCCACATCTGTTAGATATGTAAGAGTTTAATAAACTTTCAAATTGCCCATCACACAACAGCTAACTACTAGGAATTTTTTACTGCTAGAATTTATTAACTACAGTGGCAAAGATTCAAAGAACAGATAAACAAGTCTATTTTCATTTCGGCTGTCAACCTTACGTATCTTTTACAGGGTCTGATCACTAACTTAGTTTAACCACTATTTACCAACTTATCTCGTTACTACTGAAGAAAAACTTAATTAAAACTTCTAATGGACAGTAAAACAGAACCTTATTTCTGTTGAGTAAACTCAAGCAATCAGAAAGAATATATCTTTCAATTATATTGAAAGATATAATTATTATTTCAAAATAATCATGTGGCTTAATTTATACTAACAATACTTTTGATACCCTTACCTTGGAGAGAGGGGCCCACAGAGTGCAGCACAGCAATTAGTAAAGATGTTGCCATAACTGTATGGATTATAGTTCTCTTTACCTCTTTTATTTGACCATGATCCTTTAATCTGAAGAGATATGAACAAGATGCATCACATATAATAGAGTACAGAAAATGGCTGAGACAAATTAAGGGTTACCAAAGCAGCAACATGCTACTTACAGCAGAGGCAGACCAGAGAAAACCCGTGATCACACTTTCCAAACAGCTTAGAGCTTCGGGCTGTTTAGGAAAGGCTGGACCCTAAAAATCTTAGAAGCAAGCGCATGCTTTACCTTCTACTTTGATTCAGACAACCCAAAATCTCACAGGACCAATTCAGCATCTAAACATAATGGCCTAAGCTTAATTTTACAAATATTATGGTATGTTCTACAGAAGAGGTTCAATTGCAACATACCACTGAAGCCAGCAATAGAGCACTACTTTTCCATACTCTTGGGTAAGTTCTCAAGCTGTGCAATACCACACAACATCATCTTCCCTAATGCCCACAAATGGCTCTAAAATATTATGAAGCCACTGCAGTCATTACTACCTTTTAGTCCATATTACCTTTTCTTTTAGCCAGTCTTGCTTTTCTGTCTGTGAGACAGTTGAGAGCCTGAGTAAAATGTCTTACTGTGTTCAACTGGAAATGTATGCTTTAAATGAAATTACTGAACAGTTTACTTGAAATTCAGACATGTTACACTGCTACAGTTGCCTGCTATCTGACTTTCAACAAGCCAGAGGTGACATTTATTTGAGGGCAGGGGGGACAGTGGAAGTATGCTGGATCCATCAAGAGAGACAATGTTGGACTAAACCTACTAACAGAGGAATATCAGAGTATCTCATCTGCCTAACTAATGAGGTAGAATTCTTCAAAGTCAGGCTATTTGCTTGGATACTTGATGCTAAGGCACAATTCATTCTAAGCCTGCTTGGTAAATTTTTTCTGGTTGATTAGTATTCATAATTTTATAATTTTATAAAATTTTAATTTTAACCATGATCTTAAACAATAACAAAACATGTGGTTGACAGTCCCAAAGATGCTTTTACATTTGCTAGACACCTACAAAAAAAGGTACAACAGAAAATTACAATAAAATAACTATAAACTTGCAGTAATTTGTTAGAGTACTTGCTAAATTCCAACAAGCTTTCTATACCAGTAGCTACCTAGCTATTTTTATTTTCTCCTTTCACCCATTTTGTATTTCTCCTGTTAATTAGGGGAGGGCACATGAATCATCCAAACTCAGTTAAACATAATTTCACACCGAAACAATGGACACCTATGTGCAAAATAGGATAACTATAGAAGTGAGAAAGTTGACATTTAAGTTAATGATACACTCCTTGCCAGAGGTTTTAGACCTCGGATTGGCAAAGAAATTTCAAAGGAAAAATAAAACAAAGGATGAAATTTTTGTTTTGAGAATTCAACATATCTTGCAATTTTTATTAAGCAATAATATTAATAAATTAATAAATATTAAGCAATTTTTGAGTCAAAGAATATTTAGGACTCCCAGTGAAAAAGAGATACTGAAAAATGTTTAGTACTTTCCTCCTGTATAAAATATGCTTGTTTCTTTGCTCTCTTCTATATTTCCCTATTTCAAGATACAGGTCCTGTGGCTGTAAATCATAATAGACACACTATGTAACATCTTCAAACCACAACAAATAGTGTTCAAAAGATCTCTTCTGATATTTTGAATCAAGCATGACAAGGTTACTTTCTTCTTTCCTATTGAAGCACTCACAAAATTATGCAGGCAGGTATAACTTCTCCAAGAATAACAGAGAAAAACTGCATACAATTAGAATTAATCATCTCCTCATTACTATTTAGAAATCTATATGTAGAAATATACTATGAACTTACATCTTCATTTGTTGTTTGATTGGAGCTGATCAAATATGTGTGAAAACCTGAGAGGCCAACAATGGACCATACTGAGAAAAAACACACCACAGCTTCCAGCACAGTAATTGAAAGTCAAGGAAATATATGCAAATGAAAAAAAAATATATGCAATAACAAGTAGTTACAATCACAAAATTCAGGACAGTTTCCAGCAAAAAGAATGAGGGAGAATGGATAAGGAAGCAGACTGTTGTTAGCAGAGGGTTCAGAAAAGTGTAAAGAAGGAAACAGCCCCAAAACATTACGCACAATACAAGCCCACCTAACTGGGCTATGAGAGGGTAGAAATCTTAAGGAAGGCTGTAGATGAGCACTGTTGGGTAGAATCTACACACCAAGACTAAGAGGAAGAATCACTAGGTCAGAAAAGGGGAACCTGAGAGGGAGAAGAGCTCCCTGCAACCTCATCAGATGATTGAGCACACTGCTAACAGGATGCTCCTCGCCATGATTACACTCAAGAGAGTACTGAAAAGTGAGTTTCTCCCTCCACATGGTAATTCCTACTGACAAAAAAGGGAATTCCGTTCAATTCAAGACCTCTTTCAGCTCCCCGCTGAAAGGAACTTCTTTCCCCAAGAAAGAGACTTCTTCAGTTTTGCACACCAAGAGACGAAAAGATCTCTAGAACGGCAGGGGTGGTTTATGTTAGATTAACATGACCCCATTAATTAAACATGAGTCCATTAATTAAAAACCAAACACAAAAAAGCAACATATTCTCAACATAAAGTACAACCTACTAGCGTAATATGGTATAACGCTCCCTTGGTGTATCTCACACAGTTGTTAGCAAGCTAGAAACGGCAATGTTCTCTGTGCCTGAATTGACTGGCTTGCTCCACAGCAGCATTCCCAATGCTATTTGGTCAATTTAATTTTTTACTGTTAGGAATTGTAACCAAGCTATTAAATTGTCCAACGCACCACTAGCAAAGCAGGCCATTTCTACAAGATGCACTAGTGAGCCTTTCAAAGCAGCTCATCTCTGAATACAAATTATGAATAAGCAGCCCATTGTTCCTGTATAGGGATCCTCAAATGCATAATCAATTACCTTTTGATTTAAGGACAACTGCAAGCTATTCTCAGTTTGAGAACAGTTTGAAGGAATCACCTTTTGTGAGAAGTGATTGTAATTGTTTTAATTGGAAGCTATTGTGCTATTTAGAATTGTTTGTGCTTTGTAAAATCATTTCTACAAAAAAAAATTTTGAACAGTGTCTTTGCTTAAGAAGGGAGTTTACAGCTCAGTGATTCTACCTGATGAACACACACACACACACACACAAAACCAATCGTATCAACAGGATTTGGAGAATTTGATACTTGGAAAAACTACCTGGAAAGAGAGGTCTGCTTTTATGCACAACTACGAATGACAGGTAAGAGTTATTTCTTCCTACTCTTCCATGGAAAAGAGCAAACTGTGTGAGGCACGATGGACAAAAGACTTTTCCTCAGCACCAGTATGAGAAAGAATTCTTGTTATAGTAGCTTTGTGAGAGGCACAAACTGCTTATTCAAACACAAACCATTCAAAACATACATAAGGAGTGTGAAGCTTACAGTCTGTACAGAAATGTAAGGAAGAAACTAAACAGAAGTTACATCAGCTTCCCATTTTTCTATTATGTTAGCTGCTTACAGACAGAGGAGCCTCTTCCATTCCCACAGAGTAGAAAATTTACAGAAAGCTCCAATGAGGTGACAAACAGAATACAGAGTATTTACAGAACGGTTTGGGTTGGAAGGGACCTTTAAAGATCATCTAGTCCAACACTCCTGCTGTGGGCAGTGACACTTTCATCAGATCAGGTTGCTCAAAGCCCCATCTAACCTTGAACACTTCCAGGGATGGTGCATCCACAACTTCTCTGGGCAACCTGTTCCACTGCCTCACCACCCTCATTGTAAAAACTTTTTTCATTATAGCCAGCTTAATTCTACTCTCCTTCCGTCTAAAACCGTTGCCCCTTGTCGTGTCACTACAGGCCCTGGTAAAAAGTCTCCCTGTCTTTCTTATGAGCCTCCTTGATGTATCTGAAGACCACAATATGGGGTCTCCCCAGAGCCTTCTCTTCTCCAGGCTGAACAGCAATAGCAGTCTCTGTATATGCATGTGTATACTTCTGTGTGACTTTACAGAAGTTGACACTTGAAAATGACTTCTCTAAAAACAGTAAATAAACAGAAGATTACTTTCAGGAATTGAACTCTTCAGGGACAGCTTAAGGTTTCAGCCGTTCCATGACCTACTTTTTTTATCCCGACAAGAAGCAGTCATTTTGGATACTTTTTGTTGCAAAAGCAGAAGAATTACTTAATATTTTAAATGAAACCACAGCATGGGTATGGTGTGAGATACATTTATGAATTCCATCACAAATACATGGAACATATTTCCATCACACATAGAAAATACAGACCTTTGTCAAGAGTACTACTCTGCAAAAGAAGAATAAAAACCACCCCAGGCTATAGTATCTTTCCTATCTCCAACATGTGGGGAGGAATCCCGTTGTGCAGGAAGTAATGAAATCCTTAGCTGATGAAGTCCCAAATGCACATATTCAACAGCAGCAAGAAAACAAGCAAAACCACATCTCAGATGTTATTTTGCAACAAGTTCTACAATTCGTTTCAGTGAAAGGATATCTTGCAGGACTGTCCTTCAGGGCGTTGAGGAACCCTGTTTGTTGAGAACCTGTAGAAATAGAACCCAAAATTACCAGCTGAGTAAGAAATTGGACTACAGGCTGTTTTCAGCATAGTTAACACAATTAATATTTGAAGTTCAACTGAATAATCATAGAATACATTTGCTAATATAAGTCTGAGATTATGTTGCTCAGCAGCAACAACATCAGAAAAAAAAACTTGGGTAAGTTATCAGGTCTAACATCTGCAGGATATTTTCTCAGTCATACCAAATTGATGCATGCATACTTTCCCATGAACAAGATTTCTGATCATCCCTGTTCTTTTCAGACCTAATATGGAAACAAAAAATTGGAAGCTACTTTTTTAGTTTGAAACACTATTTTTCAAAGCAACTTTTTTACTTGGAAAGTTTATACTATAAACTCAGATTCTCAACTTTCCCTCATTTGTTCTGGAAGCAGCCAAAATTCTCTAGACTATAATCCTGCTCCTACTGCACCTGCACAGAAGGTTTTTTTGATAGGTGCTTGTTGCCTCTGGGAAAATAAGAGAATATCTATTGGCTGAAAAGAGCTCAAGAGCAGCATGCTGCCATGAACTAGAGATGCAGAAGCATCCAATTGGTCTCCACAACCACAAGGTATTAATCAAAAAGGGCAATTTGACCATTTTCTGATAAATATGCAATAAGTGAATCAAGTCTGTAGAAACTGACTCAATGTCACATAAGTATAAGGCACATAGTTGGCATTTTACTTGCATCATGTTGAAAGTCTTTCCCACAGCAAAAAATTTCCCCTTAGCTAAATTCAGCTCAAGATTTGTATGAAGAGAGAAAAACCTTGTCTTTAAAACAAAAAATAATAATATATATGTGTGTGTGTATACACATACACATTCTTTAGACCTGCTTGGTCAATTTTACTGTTTGCCATTAAAAAGGGAATGTTACTTACCTTGTATTTCTGAGCCTTTTCAGGCTCTCATAACTGGTTCTTAGCCTCAAACACAAGACTAGTGGAACTTCCCCCTGCCTTCTTACTGTTTTTAGGATCCTTAATGGCATGGCAGCAGGTAGGTGTGATCTCTATTCCCTACTGCTGGTCACACTCTTCCAAGCAGTTCCCAATATATCAGAAGGGGAAGGTTCCTCACTTACGGTTGAAATACTGATGCCTCAAACAGAGCTGAGTAACTGTGAAGATAGGCACTACTATTGAAAATGTGTTAACTTTGGGGAGATGGAAGAAAATCTTGCAAGACAATACCTTTGAAGTATCTGATTTACAAAGTCATTTTATCATCTTCAATAATACTATGTGCAAAGATTCTTAATCCTGGAAAGGGCAAATTTGCAACGAATGCCTCAAAAGTAAGCCTACAGAACACAAAAAGTTAAGGTGTGTCTCGCATTTTGTTACCACTTAGGCCCACCAGAGTTATAAAAATGCCAGCTTGCAAGATTTATTAAAAATGAAACAAATTTCAATAATTGGACTAAATCAAGACATATTTAAAAAAAGAAAACAGACTTTCTATGTAAACAACAAGGTCAGAGAAGGAAATATCCTATTAAGATGAACCATAAAGGTTTTTTTTTTAATGTCAATGCCTACAAGTTGCTATAAATATCCCTCAGTCCCTTCCTAAAAGAGTATTGTCAGAAGGCATTCAGTCTAACGCGGAACATCTAGAATAAAGTGTCGCTGATGGGAAGGTAATCCTGCCAGGATCATCTCCAGAAGAGCTAAGAACAGGATTTGATTAAGTCAGCAGGACTTCCTCTAGAATCAAGAGTTTTGCCAGAACTTGTGGAAATACATATGCATGACTTTGAAATACTGCAGGAAGATCACAGTCCCAGGTCTAAAGCCTGAGACTTTATTCAGACACACTAAAACAAAGCACTCTTGCCAACTGCAGATCAACTAACTGAGAATCCTGCTTAATGGTTCGCGTCAGCTGAAGAACTGCAGGGCTGCAGGGTTGAGTGGTAACTAACTATTAGAAAGGTAGGTATGAGGACTTCTAGAAGCATGGTAGGCGTGGAGAGAGTGATCAGTCTGATAAAGAAGCTTTGTTTGTAAAGGACACTTTTTTTTGGAGACAGTCAAGATTACAGTAGATAAATTTGAAAGCTGGGCTTGAAGCTCAAACATAGCAAACAAACATTGAGGAACAAATCACAGTTCATACCTGCTCCCATTGCCTTTGAGGACCAAACAGTTTTTAGAACTAGGGAGGTCTTCCCTGTCTCATCCAAGGCAGATAAACCTCTATAGTGAGAAGGTTTTACAGCTGATATACTTAGACAAGTCAGCATTTAACATTTACTATACATTATCTGTAACACCTACACAGTGCTGAAATGCTGCTCAACCACACAGAGGCACAATTCATTTCTCTGCTCTTTGTCTAATTCACACTTAGAATTAAGTATGGATGCTGTAAAGTTAAAATCCACTGGATAAATCAACTTGACATAAAGAACATGAAATATTGGCATAATATTGTTAATTCATATACTGAAAACTGGGAAAAAAAAAGAGCACTGTGCTGTTTATGAAATACAGCTAGGCTAGCTTCAAAAGTAACTTTATATTGTTGGACTGGTGTTTTCAACTACTGAATTCTAGCAGAGCAAGATGACAGGAAAACCCCCATGCCTCCTCCTCCTGAAAATGTAAAAAGTGTGCATGTATATGCTCATGTATGCCCAAATAAATGTCAAGGATTTAAGTACTAATGGAAAGTGTTTTGCCAAGAATTATTTTTCCCTTTTAAAAGAATATGTACATATTTTCTCTGCTCTTTCAACTGATATTAGAAATACTGTATCTGGCAGTAAGAACAATTTGTTGATCCAAGACTCCCCCAAAATTAAAAGTGCCCCTAGCTCTAGTCTATGTGCTAGATTTCTGAGCTATAGGAGAGCCGCTCAGTGCTCTTCTTCTTCTTCTGTGAAGCACAAATAAGAGAAGTTCTGTTTTTTTAAATACAAATTTTGATCCCTGCTCAGTGTAAGTAATTTAGGAAATTGGGCACAATCTGGCATATTTTTCAGTAAAACTTCCTCTAAATGTTGCCATTATAGTTAGCTTTATAAATGTGTTATAAATTGAAATTATTACTTCTATCAGGTTTGTACTGTACTTTGTACTGTAATACACAATACAAAGAAATAAAAAGATCACATTTCCAAAATTATTAAAGAAATACTGTTCAAAGCAATATGCTGTATAACTAGTGAAGAGATAGAACACTCTTAAGATTCCTAGTGATAGTGGGTTAAAAGAACCCCACAACATAGAAAAGGTCTTTAAAGACAAGTCATATAACCTATCAGCATAAATTAGATCATCACCATAGAGGAGCTAAAAAAATTTGTTACCTATGTGGAAAAAAAAGACACTACCCAAAAGACTCTTGAAAATACTCTCCTCAAACCAAATCAGGAATACAAATAAAATCAAACTCATGAATATACATGTTCCTATAGTTTATCTGATTCACTCCATTATAAATTGGTTATTTCAGAATGTCTATGCAAATGGAAGTAACTTGTGTTAAAAATAGGGTAAAGAAAGATGTAAAACTAAACAGCAAAACCCAAAAAGTGTAAAATAGCTCCAAAGTATTTCATAGTAATTTACCTGTTTGTTTGGATGGCAAGTCACCCATGGTTACAGTTAAAAAAAGCACACAAAAGTTCTTTGAGAATACAATACTATCTGTATACTTAGACAGAATGTGTGCTGGTTTATCAATAAACTGTCCCTAAAAGGACAAAAAATTATGAAAATTAACCCTGTATTAAGATAAAGTCAGCGTTAGATCAGTGACTACTACTACGACCAGGGTCTACCACAGACCAGAATGGGACTCACTGGGGATTGTGAAGCTTCAGAGAAAAGGCAAATAAATAAATAAACAAACAAACCCTGAATGATCAAAAGATTAACTTAAAAATAAAAAACTCAAGCAAATGGCTACATACGTAATCTGATTTCACCAGCATACTTACGAAGGATGACGTGGGTGATAACGAATGCAAATATAAAGACTGTCAGAAAGGACAGAGATAAAATAAACATATAAAAAAATCTGTAGTTTCTTTTCCCCACACAGTTGCCTACCCAGGGACAGTGGTGATCAAACCGTTCTGAAATGAGAGGCAGAAGAAAAAAAAATGGAAAACAATTAATAAAATGCTGCTTATTTGAAAAAAGCTCTCTGAATACTACATTAAAACTCATGATTTAACTGGCATTTGCAAGTTAGCCACAGAGAAATTCTTATTCAGAAAGGAAAAAATAGAAAAGAAAAAGGGAGTATTTTAATGAACCCTTACAGCTTCAAAAGGAATCAAAGCATGGCTGAGGTGATCTCCTGTGAAACTAACAGCATTATTGTGATAAATTGTGCAGTCAGACCAATAAGCATGTATTTATCCACTGCCACATGCAGTAGTACCAACTCAATTGGATTTTATTTTTTCAAAATAAGAATTTTTTTCTTCCAGTGACTCTTCTACTGAAAATTGGAGGTTTTTATGTTGTTTTATTTATATCTGTCATGATCACACCTCTGACTTTTATGTCTACTATCATCTCATCCATCCATTACAGTATATGAACTATTTACACCCTCCCACTTCCTTTTATTGCTTCACTTCAAATATTCTCCATTCCAGACCGCCTACTTTTCCATTTAAAGCTGACAATGCCAAATAAAACCGTTCAAAAGAGCAAATCCGTTCACATAAACCATTTTTCAAATGTTAAGATTCAGACAGTCTTGTAAAATTTGCTTATACTTCTTTTGATTTTGAGTTGTTGATTTTTTTAAATAATCTATTCTATCTTGCAGGAATTTTCTGTAAACGACATGGTTTAAAAATTGGTAGATGTTGTCTGAATGCTCTGTTACCCTTTGTACTATAGGCTCCCGCTTCTCTTTACTAAACCAAACCTTTTTCCTTTATTTCCCTGGGAGACTGGCTCGTTCATGAGACAGGAAAAGGCCAGGGTGGGTCAGAAATGAGCGTCCCCAACATGGGGGGAAAAGCCCCAGCGCCAGAAAGCGGCAGAGGGAACAGTTCGCTCTGCCTCTCCCAGGCAGCCTGGACCCCGCTCCCCATCCCAGTAAGCCAGGTAATGGAAACAGAGCAATTGCCAGGAAACAAACCAGCATTCTCTCCCTTCTCTTTGGAGAGATTACACTGACAGAATTTTAAATTTTTTAATCAAATCCAAGATCATAACATAAGACAGATGCTCTCATGCTGACTCCCTCTCATTCTCTGATCCTTGTCCAAATGCCGTTTTGTTTTCTGTGACTTTTATGCCTCCATTGACGTACAATATCAAACTGTTTGTAATTCCACAGGAAAGGCGAGCTATAAATTTGAAGTCCTTAAGCCCTATGTTAAAAAGGCACATCTGTCCAAGCACATCAGTTCATTTTAGCTATGGTTTTACGTTAAAGACCTACATTAAAGGTTTTCCTTGTAGGACATATTTAGGATTATCTTCATTTAGAAAAAAATAAAAATGTCAAAACAAGATGCACAACAGATTTCTGAGTTTCAGGTTTGTTTTTTTTTTTTTAAACGGTTTTGCATGACAGCTGATTGGACCACATGCGTCTGCCATAAATCTGTTTCAAATTCCAATGAGGCTTTTCAAGGTGAAGTTACTGAATTTTTCTAGGATCAGGCGTCAGAAATACTTTGATTTAGTGAGTACTGCTAATACCACCAAGAACTAAACACTTTGGTATCTAAAAGGGTAAGCAATACTACCTTTATTCAGTGCAATACAGCTGTATTCCCAAAATAAGTTGACACTGCATTTGAACAGTGCTTATTTTTTTCATTTAATGGGTATCTAATACAACACATGAGCAAATAATAACACAAAAAAAAATACAGTTATAGAGCTTTGTAAAGAGCATAATTCTAGGGTACTTTTGTACCCTACTGCTTCAGGAAAAAAAAAAAATCACAACATCTCTCTGGAAGACAAATTCCGCATATTATTAATTCTCTTCTATGCTGACACAGCAGGAGTAGTCAGCATATTGTACTGACATAAAGCTCAGCTTCTAGCCATGAAACAATATTTAGATATATGTAGACATCTATTTGGTAGATTCAGATAAATGCCGAGACACACACACATATGCCTATCTATAAACACATACATCTATATGTACATATAGTTCTTACTAGAGACTGACTGGATCATTTTAACCTACTTGTCACTCCTCTCTACATTGGCCTTCAAATGTTTTTGGTAAACTGAAAAGCTCTGCTTTCTCATAAGCACCTTACTGATCATTGTGAAATGAACCTAAAATGTTTGTAAAGCAAAAATGGACAGAAAAGGCTAGCTGGATATGAAAAACACTGCTACAGTGTTAAATCTGAATAAATTCTAATTAAAAAGGAGAATTATTAGAGGGTTTACATGACTGTTATAAATTAACAAACCAGGCCTTATTTTTCTCAGTCATAAAATACAGAGAGATGTGTCATTTATGCTATATGCCACAAAACAGTATATTAAATAGCAAGGGGTTATTCTACTCAGCAGAGCACAAATATGTAAATGCAAGTTAAAGATAATAGCCTTAAAGCTTGTGAGCTGCTCTAGTTAGTTGTTAATTGAAGAGAAAAGAGCCAATTCTGTCAAAATTAACAGACACATACTAAGCAGAAACTTCTATCACTGTTAAGAAACAGAAACTCTCTTAAGTCTAGAGTTGTTTCTTCTTCCTTAAAAAAAGGCATTAATGGAGAAATAACACAGCATCTTGTGTTTCACTTACTGCACTTCCAGATGCCTGCAAACTGAACAACCAACTGTCTGGAAAAGGAAGCTCTGCCTGACATCTTTACTTGGCTTAGACAACGTTGGCAGCAAAATTAAGATTCACCTCCACTGAGAGGTTAAAAACCACTGATGCTGAGAGAAGCTGGGAATTCTGGCCCTCATGAACTTAAAATGCAGAGCAAATATAAACACAACTGATTGTTACGAAGAATTACAGACTGTTTAGAGGTGATGACTCCAGTTCTGGTTTAAATGTACAGGGCATAGTTAACATGCTGCTGTATTCAACCATATATTTGTGACACAGTTAATATAAAAATACTTGTGGCAAACGAAGAGAATAAAAACACTGGCAGAACACTCTTGTTAAAAAAGTGTATTAGAATTCTTTATGAGGGAGGAAGAAAGCTGTAAGGTCTGAAAGGTTTGTCTATGGAAGCATCCCAGGGGTAGGAAAGTTGTGACAGGTCATCCTCCTGCACTCAATTTTAAGCAAAAGCAGCAAGGTAATTCCCTTCAGGATGTGGTGGTTACAGCCATATCTACCTAATCAAGAACTACTGATAAAACGGGTGGCCCAGCTCCTCCTCTTTTAGCCGTCCTGTGAACTACCTCTTGCCTGTGTGCTTACAGCTCTCCATTCTTAGGCCAAGCCTGGTGTTTACCCTGTGGGGAGCTGGTTGGCAGAGCCAGATGAACTTAAAACTGTGGTTAATTTTCTGTTGCTTAGCTCCCCAGACCAGCTCATCACAGTATCAGACAAACACCAAAGCTGGCCCAAGTGAAGCAGTGAGAACACACTGACAGATAAGGGATGAAATGACCCTTTCAGAAGCAGCTAAGTATTAATTCAGCTTAGCTGTAACACCAACCTTACTACAGGTTAACACTGGAGAAATCAAATTTTGATTAATTTTTCAGGGTCTGAGAACAAAAGCTGAAGCAAACGAAACGACTGAGAAAATGTGTGAACAGTTTATAAGGTGAAGTATCACTGAAAAGAGGAGACAGGTAAGTGGAGACTAAAAACGCTGCTGCAAAGACCACAGAAAACCAAAGAGGTAAGGGGCTTCAAGAGCTGTCAGTAAACCTGCAGCGGCAACTTTATTTTACTAGTCTTTCCCAAGTGATCAGCAACCTAAAATCTGGATACTAACTTCTGAGTATAGCCAGCACCTCCATAACCAAATCCTAAGGGCGGATTGGTACTACAAGCTTAGTACCAGTGAAAGAGGTGGTGACATGCTGCCTTTCCTGCCACTTCACCACTTCCTTCTTCCACTGTCTGAGCTGCTGCGGAATCAGGTCAGCTCCCGGAACTGGCAGGAAAGGAAAAATGGAATTATTTTGTTCAGCGCTTAGTGAGAAAAACTGACTTACCAATGGAAGCTGTCAGCATGACTCAGTGGTCTCATTAACACTCACCTAATGATATATGCTAACTGGATGATAGAACAACATACAAGTTACATCATACTTTAGACATTTCTCTCAGTTTTTACCTTCCCCTGAAACATTTACATTTGAAAACTTGCTTAAGAAACATTAACTGCTAGATATCTCAGATAAAAACAAAAGGAAGAACATTTCCTATTTTAATAAGCAGTGGTCGTATAGATAGAGAGCGTTTCCTTCAGAAGCCACACAAAAGCATGTTCCTTACTGCTCAGAAAAGCAAAATCTCCACTTTTCCACAGCACAGCATGCAGACTCTTTAAATCCTTAAATTCAGCTTCCATTTTTCAGTCACTACGCTCCAGGAAACCACGTACAAGATGACCCCGATGCTTTCCTTCCTTTCAAAACATTTATTAAAAGCTTTATAGGTTACCAGGAACAAAAAAGCATTTTTATATGGAACATTTGTAGGCCAGCTTGGCCCTTCAGTTTGCAGCTTTTCTTGTCTGTTTGCACTGTGATCTCAGGAACATTTATTATTATTTATGAACTGCTTCCTTTCTCCTTTGCTTGACTGGGTCACTGCATGCCAACATACATATTCTAAAGCTTAATGTGAAGGCAGGTCTCAAAGACAAGAAGTCTACAGGTGCAAAAATATCTAGGTCACATTACTAGCAGATTCCAATAAGCACAAGTTAGAATTCACTTGCCAATTCTTCTCCCCCATTCTAGTAAAGCGTTGTAGGGTAAAGACACAAACCTAAGGCATTTGCTGAACATTACTATCTTTATTTAACACATGCAAACACGTATCCCAGGACTGGGAAGAGTCAAAAGCCTATTATTCAAATCTTGCGTCAGTCAAAAAAAAAAAAAAAAAATTCGCATTACAGCTCAACCAACTGGGCCAGCATTACTCAAAATT